CCCCAAAACCCCAAAACCCCAAAACCCCAAAACCCCATAGAATAAATTTGTAGTAAATTGATGTCATCTAATTTATGAAATTATGATTATTTAAGAATGATAATGCAATCAGAAGAATTTATTTCTCTTTTCTTTATTAGCAACAATAGCTCTTTATTTAAGAAGTGGTCCTAAGCTTTTATTCTTCACTATCTTTCTCTTTTTTGGTTCTTGATTTTTAAAGTTTACTAATTTAGGTAATTTTTTCAATTCCTAATGCAAATTTTAAGTCTAAAACATATCATCATAAGCAGGAACCCATCTACCACTTCTGCTGCTGTATTAACTAGCTACATTAACTTTATTATTATCTGTATACATATCAAATCTGATTTATTAAATAGGAGTAGTTACAAACATTGGATGCCTGTTTGCGTCTGCTGGAATATTTGAATTGAGATTCAAATGTGGATGTTGCTCGCTCTCAAAAGATATCATTTACTCCATCTCTTTAATAATTGACACTTCATTTAAGTCCTCTTTGGTAGGTTTACTGCTCATCAAACCTCCATCTTGGTTCTGATTTCTGTTATTCCCTATAGCATCTTAATAGACAATAAGCGTTTGTTTTATTTTGCTATCATGATCATTATTAATCATGTTACCACTTCTCTCAGTAAGTTATTTTAATAAATAGTCCCTAGGAGTGACGCTATTTGACATTTTCTTGTAATCTGATAATCTTTTGAGCTGATTTGTATTGATCAAGCTCTCGACAACAGGATTTAACTCATTTTTTAAAATGAATTTATCAGATTCCCTTCTTGGAGTTAGTGAACTTTTCTTTTCTTCATAATTTCCTGTAGTTACTGGATTCAAAAGTTTATTTTCTCTAAGTAAAGAGTCTAATCTTTTATGCTTTTGAATTTATCTGGTAAAATGAACCTATGCCTAGCTCTTTAGAGATTAAGGCATAAATGGTCTAGGCACCAGCATGTAGTTTTAAGAATTTTCATATAAAAGTCCATTATTCTAATCTGATTCAATCCTTGGTATTTCCTCATTAGTAGTTAGTTGAATGTTAAGAATTTTCGTATGAATATTTTCCTGATGCCTAGGCAACTGATATTTGTTTTTTGCTAATATTTCAGATTCAGGGGCTTTCCTCACGTACTTATTAATATACTAATTGAACTCTATTGTCCTATCTGATTTTTAAGAATTTAAAGTAGGAATGAATCCACCATTATACTTCGAATGGTTTATGTTGAATTAACTCTGGCTTGCTGAACTTTTTAAGGCTTTGTTTAGGACAAGAAGGTTGATTTAATATGAGAGTTTATTATCTTTTTGCTTTTATATTTATCTTGAATTGAGATTTGATTTAGAGGCCCTATGACTTGTAGTTTTGTGGTTAGCTAAGAATATAGGTTCAAGAAAATTTTAAAATGACATTGTTAATTATATATAAATTATTTTAATGATTTAATCAAATTAATTTTTTTAGTAGTAATAGATAAAATGAGTGATTTTATTAAAATCGAAGAGTAAGTCAAGTTCTCTTAAAGTTTCGAAGAAGCTCACTAAAATTTTGATAATCTCAATAAAAGTTTAAGTAAATTATACATATTTATATTTTTGAACTTTCATAGATTATAGTGACAGTTAAGTTCAGCTTGAAAATGTGAAGAAAAACATTGCAGCGAAAAGCTTTATTACAAATAGTCAACAGAAAAAGAAATCTATCTTTGTGATTCAAGAGCGATCATAAAATCTTGAGGATGACGATAGTCATATGAATTCTAATCAGATGACTCCATCAATGGCTAATGAGTCACAACCGATGTTAGATAATTTTCATTTTGGTGAAAATAATCATCTAAGTTAGCCACTACAATAGAAAAGTCTTAGTAAAAACAGACAATATTTGAGAAAATAGAGCTCTGGCAGAAGGTTCAATAAGGAGCAAATTCAAGCTTTAGCATACTGCCAGGATGCTATAGTAGAAGAGGATTCTTAGAACATGATAATAGATGGTGAGTATATAGGAGAAGATGATCAAAATGATCTCTCTGAGGTAGGTGGAGAATAGGGATTTTTATCTATTGAGGATTTTTAAGATTTTGATGACTATGAACAAGTTACTAAGTCTGAGGCTATAGCGCGAATAAAACTTATAAATCATATTTACGAGGATAATCAAAATGCAGATGAAGAAGAGTATAAAGAGGTGGATGAGGAGTAATAGAAAAAGATAATGTTATAGCATAAATATGAAAGAATCAACGAGTAGATGGAGGAAAACGAAAAGAAGCGTAAAGATCCCAATAGAGATTTCATCATTAATGAAGGCAACCTATTCCTCAGTGCTATTAAGTTTAGTGTCCAAAACGAATATAAGAAGCCTGTAAATGAAATTATGTAGTAGGAAAAAAAGAATGATAAGGAAGCTGATTAGAAAGAATTTGAGGATAGCCAAAGGAGAAAATAAAGTCTCAGAGATCATTTCCTGATACTAGATAGAAGTGGAACTTATCTGTGATAAAATAATATAAAATGGGAGTAGTACTTAGAGCAAATAGGTATTCACTAGTCTCGAAGAATTTACATGTCAATGCCAGGATCTGTAAGAAAATTTGTTCTATATTTAATAATTATAGCTGCAACCCTCAATTGTTACTACAATCTTGAATTACAGACCTAAAATAAAATAGAAGCAGAAGAAATATCCTATAACGAGTTCATCTTCAGACAGCTTTTCAGACAGTTCATCAAGTAGCTCAAGTGAATCTGACATGGATAGATTCGATACTGATTCTGATGATTAGAATGATTCCTTCAATATTAACAGCTCAAGAGATGAGCAACAATTAGTTAAAGGGATTGCACTACCCTCAAGAAGTTCAAGCATGAGTAGCCTTGACAATTAAAAAAACTCTTCAAGTTCTGATTCAAAGTCATCTAGTCAAAGTAGCGGGAGAGATGGATATGCCAAATACTTTAGAATAAAAGAATAATTTAATTTTGAACCATTGTATCTTGATGAGTAGAAATTAGGATATTCAAAGCATAAGCATGAAGTTTCATTGAGCTCGTACAAAGTAAGGATGAATTCTTTAACATTATTTGTTTAGATGTCTATTTTACCATTTGTAAATCCTTAGAGGAAAAAGGATGATTTAAATAGGATGTTTAAAAAGAGTCATCCATAGATCAGCAAAAACCTAACTCTCAGTAAAATAATGAGTCTAAAGCATAGGCTTATCTCAGTATTTTTACTGAAAGATGATCCACTTTAATCATAAAAAAAGAAGGGATTTCGTAAGGATAGATCAAATCTAAATGCAGAGGTATATTCACTAGCAGTAGGGTGGGTCTTATTTGAAAAGCTCATATATAAAGGATTAGTAAAAAAGAGCAATAGAAGAATAATAGCTGCAATGTGTTTATTTATTTCAGTCAAGAACAACTAGGTCTATGGAGGCTATGAAAATAATGAGAAATTTTTTTCTCAGTTTAAGCAAGATCTCAATGTGTTTTTAGGAGATAAGCAAAGGTAAGTTTTCTAATTAGTTCTCATTTAATTGTTTTTTAGCTTAATGATCAAAAGATATGAGCTAAAGGTACTATCAAAACTAAATTTTCTGATATAAGTTCCGCTTAAGATTATCTTACCTCATATAGAATCAATCCTCATATCAGTTGATTCAAATCTCTCTGAGTATTTAGGAGAAGAGGCCTATTAAGAATACATATCTTAGAGGTAGGAATATCGTAGAGTCATCAGTCTATTCGGTAAGAGAAAGCATCATCATCACAAGCACAGAAGAAGATTCTAAAATGCCCAAAATATTATTAACTAAAGAAAAACATTTGGAGCTTCTCTTGCGCTAACTTCTAGTGCTCCAATCTATCCGCCAGGGTATAAAGTTGCCTAGAAAAGAACATCTGTAGATAGTTCTGATGATAAGTTTTCAGTTACAAAAAATAACTCAAACAAAAAATAGTTAGCATTTAACAGAGCAAATACTATTTTAGGCTAGACAAAGAGCGCTCCTAGTAATTTAAGTCTGTCGAAAAATTTTCATACTGAAGCCTGAAATTAATTTTAATAATCTTTATTTCATAATATCACATCAATTTCTTATGAGCGGGGTTTTGGGGTTTTGGGGTTTTGGGG